AAACCAAAGATGCTGAAGTACAGGAACCTTGCTTTTTCATCCCTGCCTCTAGCTGTCCATCATGAGGCCTGGCCCCTAGGGGCTTTTATCTGTTGAAATGAGGGAACAAATTCGGTACCATCCTGGTCATGTTGCTCTCATGCTCAAGAATCTATGGGAACTTCTCACTACTAGTCAGACCAAGCCCTAATCTGGAGCCAACTTCATTTTTATTAATTTTCATTGTTACTTAAAACCCCCCAAGTACAAATAATTTATATTTTACCTCCTTTTTTGAAGCTAAGTAGAATAAGAAGTGAAATTCCTCACCCACAGTAATGAAAACCTGAGTAACCATCCCTCTACCTACCCTCCAGTTCATTCAAACCGCTCTTCGTTGGGCCTGTCATGCACCATGTGGATTTTCTCCATTGCCTTATTATGAACAGAATCGCCCTTGCCAGGACTCTTGTCTTCCCTTTGTCTCTCTAAAACCTGCTCAGCTGAGGTTCCAACTTTCATAGCACATATTACCTGCCACACTTCAATACTTACATGCTCTATTACAATTGTTTTCAGGTGTTGGACTATTCGTTGCTCCAATAAAGTTTGCAGTCCTTTACAGCCACTATGGTTTTTTTATATTTACAGTGCATGTGCAAGCAATCTCATACTTAGCATTCAAATGAGTTTTTAAATATAAAGGAATTGAGTTTTTACATGGCGTTCATGTTAGTTCACTTGGCAAGCATTAAAACTCCGTGTGTCCAGTACTGTGTTAGAAACAAAGGATTCACAGATTGAAAAAAATAACACTGTAATGGCAAAACAGAAATGGATCTATCTTCTCTGCTTCTAATGTACCCAGCACTTGCCTCTAATATCTACTATGCTGTGTTGCAATACCCTGTGAGTACCACTTAGCCCCCTCTCCTTGGCTTTTGCACCTCTAGGACAGGGAATGGGTATTATAATTTTATGTTTGCAGCATCTGTCACAATACTTGGCACATACTCCATTTTTGGAGAATGTTTGAAGTGAGCTGTTGAAGGTAACTACAGTATAATTTGAAAAATGTTATAATGGAGCCTGTATGGGTAGTATGGGAGTGCAGGAGAATGGGTATCCAGTCTATTTTTCTGTCTCTTGGCCAGAATAAGCCCCTCTTGCCAAATGACAGCCTCGTCAGACCACATTTGAACACAGTTTCACTTGGACAGTAATTTTTCTTAAACCGATATTGGCAGTTCTCATTTGGTGGATTACAGTTTTGAGGAGGCACTGTAATTTAGAAGCATGTAAGTTGGCTAAACCAGGGTCTTATATTTCTGAATAAGGATTTAAAGCCCAGAGTTTTATAGAAAAGACCCATGTTTTGTAAACTTTGATACACCTGTTTTCTTATGCAGTCTAAAGTTTTCTAAGGTTTAACAATCTATTGTATGATCCCACTGGTGTTTTAAAACTCGTTTATTTATAAAATGTACATCCAGATTTTCCAGGACAATGAATACAGTGGCTATTTCTGGGTGGTAGGCTGATGTGCCATTCAGGTGAGGAAGAGTATTTGTGTATTTTCCTTTAAACTTTCTGCTCTATTTTAAATTTTTATTTATAATGAGAATGTTTTACTTTTATATAAAAAAGGAGTTAATAGAGTTAATGTGAATCCCAATTATTTAAAGAAAACAAGCTTAAGAAAATTTTGGGAGAGTAGCTCCAGGGCTAAGGGGAAGGTATAGAACTATGAGGGCCGACCCGATAGTGGTTTTCTCCAAAGCAGAAGAGTTAGTTCCAGGAGAAGTGGCTGAACAAGGCAGGAGGTTGTGGATGGACCTGGAGCCAGTGAGGAAAGATTTTCAGATGCTAAAGCATGTCAAGATGCAGATTTGCAGGGGAGGTGGTTTCTGCGGTTGCTAGCTTGAAAAAGCATTCGGTTCTCAGGTGTTTGTGATTAGATGAGTTGTGTCAGTTCAGGCTGCTGAGCCTACGGGCCGCCTGTGTTGGTTTTATGTTGCAGCAAAGAGTGGCTGAGATCAGGAAGGTCAGAGGAGCTTCAGATGGTGTTAGGGCTTGGCACCAATCAAAGATTTGTTTGAATGCTCTATTGAATAAAAAAGGTTTAGGTTTTTCCCCTAATGATTTGAACGAAGAGAAAGCACTGTTGAACAGATGAAAACAAAGGATGCTGGCAAGAGATGGCCAAATGATTGTGTATTTTGAAGGCTCAGTCAGGTTCAGCATTATCGTATAAGGGGTATAATTTCATGCACCCAATCTGAAAAAATTTGGGATAGAATATTCTGTTACTCTTTTGTGCCTGTTAAGAGTTTATTTTGGAATGTTAATATAGTGGTATTTTCTGTAAATTTAAGTAGGTCACCAATGTATATTGAAATAACTTTCTATTTTACTTTTAATACATAAATGCATTACAATTATAAAAGATTCATATGATTCAGAAATACGTAATTTTTAACATTTCAAAATTCCGCCACCCCCCTTCCCAAACTAACTTCTCTCAGCTGCTCATATCCACACACGTACATATGTAGTTTTATTGCATCATATTCTCTACATCCTGCGACTTGCCTTTTTCACATAATGATAAGTCTTAGAGCTCATTCTCAGTCATTGCTTATAATTCACCTCATGGGTTTTCGTGGTTGTAGTATTTTACAATTTGAATGCATCAGATTTTTATTCTTAAATTTGAGGATAAATAATTAAGCTTTCTTCTAGCAGGATTTATGCCTGAAGAAGTCCTAAGGGATTTTACAGAGAATGTTAGGTATTTCAGAAATTCCACGTTCTGTGAACTGGTATCAGGAGCATGGAACGAAATGAGGAGAGAGAGCTACAAGTAACAATAAAGATCAGCGAAGGATGTTGTAAAATTATTTCCAAATGCTTATTGCTATAACTTTTTGTCAAAAAGCTGATTGGTGCAGGCTATGTTTTAAAGAAAAATCAGACCTTGTAGATAACAGCTGATTTATGGAGTGTGTAGTCTTTTTAAATTTAAATATAAATGCTTTGTTCTCTTCACCCTTTAGTTCTGTTTTATCCTCTGGAATGTTTATCATTATTTCTTGGAAGATAATTCTGCTAACAGGATGGGCTGCTTGCTTTTGAAAAAAATGTAGCAAGAAAACCCACAATTTGTGGACATGACAGCCATGTATTTTGACCATGATTAAGAAACTACTGACCGGCTATAGACCAGTGTTTTATTAAAATATGGTTTACAGCATTTATAGTCTTAAGACTACAAATGAACCTTTTATGGAGTGATAAACTTCTTCTGTGCCCACCATCCTCCCCCAAGAGAGCTATAGTGTAATTTGACTATGGACTTTCACTCACACTTAGTCGGCTTTCCAACTGTAAATTTGGTAACATTTTAGAGGTTGACTTAGCTGTTTCATGGTGGTCATGTAATATATGAAGTTCTGTTTAGACTCAAAGCTGAAAGGTGAAGAGTTACCATTTTCTCTTTATAGGTCTAGAAACTTATTATTTACAATGTAATCTATTTAACAATTTTTTTAGCCTTTAAATTCTACTTTCTGGCTTTATTTGCTCAATTTGCAAAATTTTAATATTCAGTGATTTCATGTTTTGGTTTCATTTTCTCTTCTATTATCTCTTTGCTTGCAAGAACTATCAATTTTAAAGCTCTTCTGAATCATTGAAGCACCAAATACAGTGCTGGCACTCAGAGGCTTGTTGAATGAAAGTGATGCCATGGAGTTTTCATAGAGCTTTACATGCTGTTAATTGCCATCAGTTAAACCTGTTACAAGTAATAATGCACTGTAATGTGTTGAAAACCTGACCTTTCAATTAACCAATCCTCCAAACTTCTCTCCTTTTTTCTCCTGGAAAGAGTAGTGTAGAGTAAATTTATTTTCACCTGTGCAAGCCAATTATCTCTGACACAGATGTTACTGACTTACCAGGGAATCTGACCTAGAATACAAGCCTCTAAGCTATTGCATCTTTTTACACCTTATTGTAATGTGTGTGGTTTAGGGGAAAAATGCATGTTTCTAATCTACTGTTACCTCTCTGTGCAGACTACCTATTATGGGCAGTGTTGATTTATATGTATTGTTATAAATCCTCACAAGAGCCTTGTAAAGTCAGCGACATCCCTGTTTTATACTGAAGGAAAAAGAGGCTCAGAGAGGCATGTCATTGTCCAGAGTCGCAGAGCTGGGATTCAAACTCAGACCTAGCACACCTGACAGCACTCTGTTTCACAAACTGCTCCTAGCGAAACTCAGTTTGTGCATTATAGAGAGAAGAGAACAGATTTAGAAGGCAATTAGTTTTGGGGGCTTTAAGAACCAGCTCAGCCTCTACTAGCTATTTGACTCAATGTCTCTTAGTCTCAAATTCCTTATTTGAAAAATAGGGATACTGCTGCCCATCTTGTAGGATTATTCTGAAAACTAAATGGAGATGCATGTAAAGGTTTTGGAACATTGAAGGTTTTCAAAAAAATGACCTAAAAACTACCCTTCTGAGTTATGATACCTTCTGATTAGTAAATGCTGGCCTTGGCTAGTATTAAACAGAATTTTATTTTTCTGTCCTGAAGCAGAAGATACTAGTTGGAGTATTCCCATTGTGTTTATCATTGTAAGTCTTTTGAAGGGCAGAACAGACTTCAGTCCCAGCAGTGATGTAATTTGTAGTGGGGATATTTTCTTTTTCTTTTTAATTCTTTGTTTTAATCCCATTTGGAGTTGCAAAAATTTCGGAAGGGTCTCAAGCTGCCCAGGGCCTTGGGCTGCAATTTTTTTCTTAGCCTATTGATGTGGTGAGCTGTTGGAAGCAGTAGGAGTTATTTAGAATGAGATGGCTAATATTAGGAAACAAATGAGTTGACCACATATTTCTCTGACCACTTGAATTTCGATTGAACTAACCAGTGAGTTTGTGAAAGTTTTATTTGCAAAACAAGTAAGCTGCTTTGACTGAAATTTTCTTTTTCTCTTTAAAATTGTTTTTAGGATGCAGAATAGAAAACTGTGATTCTTGCTTTAGCAAAGACTTTTGTACCAAGTGCAAAGTAGGCTTTTATTTGCATAGAGGCCGTTGCTTTGATGAATGTCCAGATGGTTTTGCACCATTAGATGAAACCATGGAATGTGTGGGTGAGTAGTTTTTCATGTAGCTTTCAAACTTCAACTTTTTTTTGAACTTTCACCTGTTTTTTGAAAACATGCTGGATATATTCAACCTAAAAACAAATTGGTTCTCTTGTTGTTAATTAGAACTGAAAATTATTTAAGTTCTTTGCTGACTTTCTGAATTCTTAGGCATCATGATGTTGAGTAGTCTCATTACATCGTGCTACAAAATTTCCTAGTCGTACGTTTGCTAGGTGAAACTTTTTAGATGGTGATGATGATGTTTCTGTTATCCGTGTAATACATCCATTTCTAAATTATCTTAAATTATTAGTTACTGTTAGAGAAAAACATTTTTGTTGAGGAAAAAAGTTTTCAGTCGGTACCATGTGGTAAACTATCTTATCACTTTTGTTATGTATATTAATTATAGAGATTCTTGCTTAGGCATTTGTTTAAAAAAATCAATTGGAAAGAAATTTTTTGTGCCAAACATATCTTATTGATGATTGGCTGCATGTTGCAAAGTGCTTTAAAACAATTTTACTTTTATTAAATTTAGATATCTAGAATGCATGATTTAACATATACATATTTACTGTTTGTGAATAATAATTAGGAGTGCATATTTTATAAATTTTACATTTTTTGAGTGTTTGAAAAACACTTTGGTATTTTTATACCACTGATGAAAAGGTAGAGATGTCAGGACTTACATTTTGACGAATGTCTGAATTAATCTTAGGTGTAATGGCATCTTCACTGCTCCCACCCCGATCCCTGAATTGCATTTGACATGTTATACATCTGATATGATGTACAACAGAGCTATGTATTATAAATGAAACTTTCTATCTCCTTAAAATGGAGATTTAAAAGAAAATTGAACTTTTTTCCTGCAGAAATATTGCTGAAGTAATTATATATTTGAAAGCTTGCAGAGAACACATTTAATTCAGAGGTTTTTGAAGAAATGTGTACTTATGCTCCTATTTACATGTGAGTTAATACTTTCATGCAGGTGACATTATTAAAAAAATAAAGTCACTGGAAGATCATATTCAGAATGTTGAATTTGCTTTTGAGAGGCAGAACCCACACCCATTGCAAATGTTCAGTGGAAACGCTTATGAAACCCTTAAATATAAACAAATTACAAATAGAGTTCTATGCATTCCCCTTAATAAAAATCTTAAATAGCTTTGAAAAATCTAAGAGTAACCATGAAGCCTGCAGAGATCTGGAATGCTAAAATATTGATTGTGTGTGCACTCTGGGCCTGGGTCCTCATCTGCTAGTGTGAAGGGGCTTTTTAATGGTGAATTTGATGAAGATGTTTAGCTTTGCATATTTTTATTCTTTTATTCCCTCCATGCTGCACCCACCCCCCCACAAGGGGGTTGAAGGGTAGCCTACTTTTCCATTATATGAACTTACAAAAGGGAATGCTAAAAGTCTTTATAAATCTAGGAAAAACACCCATTTTCAAATACCTGACCAGTTTGTTTACTTTTCAAACTATGATAATGTATAGCACCAATTTAGGGAATAAGAAATACTGTGGTTTCCTATTGAAAGAATTGAGATAATCAGAAAACGGGGAACAAACTCCCTATCCTGTTCACGAAGTACTTACTTCCAGAATAAAACTAACACACTCCTGAATTTCAGTGGGGGCATTCAGAATTAACCTGTAAAATTTTGTCTTCTGTCATGGTATGAAAATAATCTTCTACCATAGGTTTTAGCTGTTGAATCTTTAAAGGTTATGTATTTCAGTGTCTTTAGAATGGACCAGTAGCATCCCTTCAAAAAATGAACTAAGACAAATAGAAAGTAATAGTTTTTAAATTACTTACTTGACAATTGTTTGTTGTAGATGGAAGTAACCCTATGGCCCAAAGAATTAAAGTTCCTGAAAGGCAAATATAGGTCTTTGTGGGCTGTACAACTTAATTTTTGGTGTCTGAAGGTAAGGGGAGTGGAGAAACACTGCTGTATAAATTGGATGACAGTGGAGCAAGTGGATGTCAAATTGTTATCTGTGTTTGTATTTTTTTTTTTATCTTTGTTAGAAGGATGTGAAGTTGGTCATTGGAGTGAATGGGGAACTTGTAGCAGAAATAATCGCACATGTGGATTTAAATGGGGTCTGGAAACCAGAACACGGCAAATAGTTAAAAAGCCTGCAAAAGACACGATACCATGTCCAACCATCGCTGAGTCCAGAAGATGTAAGATGGCCATGAGGCATTGTCCAGGAGGTGAGTTTGAATAATCACTATCGTGGGCTGGGTGTTGTCTGAATTCTCCTCCTCCTAAACCACCTTCCCTCCCAATAGGGAGTATTTATCCACAAAGGAAACTTGATAATAACATTGGTGAGAGAGTAAAGTTCCACATTGTACTTACTTAGGGATGAATGCTTAAATTGTGAAGAATATAAAGTGAATGTTTCATTTACTTTCATGATACCTTGAAAATAATTTAGAAGAGTACATTACAAAATGAGCTTTCTAAAATGAGATTTCTAAATGCATTGTGTGTGTGCCGGATTTTTTTTTTTTGCTAATGTACTATAAAAGCGGTTCTTGTGAAATCAGGCCTTTGCAGATGTTGCTCTGAGGGAAGCGCCAACTTTCGGTTGAGAAGAGTTTAGATTAGAAAGGTTTATGGAATCTGTAAAATCATCTGTATCGTTACTAGTTGAAGATGACAACTTAAAATAAACTTGCCCAAACACTGGGAAGAGTAAATGTTGTCTTAATGTTACCACAATTACCCGGTTCTCTTTGTTTTGATAATAATTTGTAGAAAACAGCTACTGGTATGTGTGTGTTTATTCATGTCTTTGTAGTAATTGTGCTGATTTGCAGTAATTATTCTGTAATAACAGGATTAGGCCCATTTACAAATTAGGAGAAGCGTACATAGCTCAGGTGCTGGTTAAGGCTGAGTCAGTATGTCGAAATGCACTGCTTAGCGCTGTCACTGTGGTTCTTAAAGCTTAATCGCTTGTTACCATTTATTTTATCACTAGCGGATGCTAAATTGCCAGAGATGAAGTTGGGATTTATCTAGCGCACCAAATAGAAAAGCGAAAGAGAAAGTTGCGTGTGGAAAATTGCCCTATGAAATAATCAACACTTTTGTTTGCCTCATTCTTGCTGTTGGTGCATAGCTTTCCAGCTTTGTGGCTAGAGCCCAGAAAGACAATATATATCTGCTTAAAATGGGTTTATATCTGTATTATGCTGCCTCATAGAGAATGTCTGTGATGCGTGGAGGAAGACAAAACTTTTAAGACTTGAAGACTCCAGTCAGCCTTTGAGAACTGTTAGATCCAGATTCAGATGCTACTATTAGGAAGGCAGCTTTTCCTCTTGAATTAGTTTTGCTTTTTTTTTTTTGCTGGGTCTTTGAAACAAAGTTTTTTTGGGTCTGCTTTTCACTAACAAGGATGGTTTTGTTCAGTTAAACTGGGTATTTTTCAGTCAAAATATAAGAAAATATTTTCTTACAAAACTAATAAGCCACTTCTTGGATAGCTGAGAGCATTTAACCTGCAACCTTGTGCCTAAAAACAAACCTGATGTATTCAGGTAATGGAAATAAAGACTTTCTTTGTTGTATATTGTTTATATAACTACCCCCCCTCCCCCCATTCCTCTTCCAGCAACGCAGTCCTCCAATTGTGGTTTACGTTAATAGCAAAAATTAACCTGAAAATGCTCCTATAACAAACACGCTTATGTGTAACAAGAGCTAGCACATTTCCCTCCCCTTTGAAACTATTTTGACCTAGCTCCAGTCTTGCTTGGGAATTTTGTAGATAAGATTGTTCCCCTATAATGTTTATTGAATTTTAATTTTTTATGCTTCCAACAACAGTATACTGTCTTAATAGAATACAACCTGACACTGTCAGCAATTTAAATTACGTCAGAACAAATGCTTATGTACCAGGGGCTAATATTCTGTTTTTCACGAGTGAACCAGTAATGAACTCTGATTTAGTTCATATTTAGGTTTTACTGAGTATTATTTATTAGGAGAGACCAGCTATCACTCTAATCCCTGTATCTACATTTTCAATTGAATAAATTCAATTTTTATATAATCTTTGAAGTTATATAAAAAGTTAGTTTAAAAAATTACTATGTTTAAAAGCTATGTTGGAATTTGTTTTATTTTATGTGTTAAGAAAACAGAATTAAAATAGAATTGTTGATAGAAATGCAAAATTACTCTGCAATAAAATAACTTCTATTTACAAACATAAGAAATGAAAACTAGGAAATTAATTTTGGAACTTGAGCACCAATTTGCAAAAATTGGCATAACTTCCAGTGGAGTATCCCACCTTGCCTCAGGTAAGAGAGGGAAAGTTTCCTTTCTTCCATAGGTCACGGCGATTAATGGAAGAATGGAGAAGAAAACCACTTTATCCTATTTTACATCTTGACTTGATTTCAGTGATCTACTTTGACAAACCATGCAAAAATGTAAGTCGTAATCAGGTTGGGAATATAGGCATTTTCCAGATCTTTTCAACATGTGTATGGATTTTTCTCCCGTTGGAGCCAGTCTTAACCTGATTGCACACAAACGCAGCCGTAACCTCCTTCACACTAAAGCACTGGCACATTACGATCAGCTGCTTTCCATTACGGGAAAGCGTAAGTTAGAGGTCAGTGAAATGGAATAGTCACTAAGTGTATAAGATATTACACTGAAAACTATTAATAATGAGAAAATAAATGACTGAGATTTAAGAAAAAAAAACACATCAGTGTAATGCTTTAGCCTATTTTCTCCTTAATTATCATATACTTATTTGCTTTTTAAAAGTGAAAGAATATCTGGAAATAACTCAAGTTGTGGGTTGATTTACACTTGAAGTTACTCCGTGTTCATTCCTAAACGTTTCTTTTTGATTAGATTTCCGGTGACATAACCTGTAGAGTTTCTTGGGCTTTTTTGATTCGGAGTCTTCAGGATTCTGGTCTGGTGGTCAGGAGATCGGGTCTCTGCGCCCTGTCAACTCATTAATTCTGTGACCCTTGGCAAGTCACTTAACCTCTCTTGGCCTCTATTTTCTCATTTGTAAATTGAGGGTATTGGGGTAGGACATCTCTGAAATCCAGTCCAGTTCTAAAATCTGATGATTCTAAGACTGATTGCTAAAAGATATGGGCAAGTTCTGTGGTTGTCATGTGAAGGGTAAGGAAGAAACTTGTTAAGCCCAAGAGTGTTGCTTCACAGCGAAAGAATTGAACACTTTTCTAATAGCTGAGCTGTGCGTTTGCCAAGCCTGTCACTTCTGGCAACTTTCACCCTCGTCCTCCCTATCTCCTCTCTTCCCTCCTCCCACTCCCTTACAACCCTCAAAGACTAAGCAAGACTCTCTTTAAATCTGTATATGACTTGTGATTTTTAGTTACCAAGACAGCAGGAGGATGGAGAAAGAGAAGAGAGAATCATAAAAGACCATGGGGAAAAAAAAGAAAGATGGATGAGTGAGAGAAAAAAAAAATTGAACGAGTGGAGAAAACAAGGGGAAAAAAGAATGGACTACTTAAAAATAGACTGTACTTATTGCAGATATCACTTCCCTTTGTTCCCATCTTGAGCATGCTAATTAGTTGAGTTCATCCTGTTGGAGAAAATTTATTAATATATAACATGCAGCTTTAAATGGAAGGAATTTCAAGTCTGGACCATGTTGTACATTAGGCAATGTATTAATAGAAAAATATAAGCATGCTGTGATCATATTTAAACGACAAATGGAAGAACAAAATCATGGTTTCAGAGGCACAAAGTTGGATGATGTTTATGTACAGAGGAAAATGTCATTTGGAGGTAGCTGTAATCTTCTCTTTCCCGAGATTGGCCAACATAACCTCAACCTGAAATATTCTGTCCCATCTGTATGAGATTCCTCATTATTTTGTAAAGTCCTATGACAACTTATTTTAATTGATTAATCAGATATTTATTGAGCACCATTATGTACCAATCATTGGTCTAGGCATGATAATGCTCAGAGAGTCCTTACAGAGCTTTTCCTAGTGGGGATATGGCAATAAAGAAATAGGTGGGTGAATGCGTAATTTCATGTGGAGATGGGGCTGCAAAGAAAAATAAAGCAGGAGAAGGAGCTGGTGAAAGATTGGATCAGGAGTGTACTATTTCCTGTAGGGTTCAGGGAAATTGAGAGAGTAACATTTGATGAGAAATCTGAGTGAAGATATTTTGAAGACCTAAGGGAAAATTTTTTGGCTTTTGACTTAATGGCTATGTTTAATAATATCCTTGATTCTTTCACTGTTTATTAGGGAAGAGGAAGGAACTGAGATCAAGGGAGGCTCTGGCTGGTCCAGGGTGATACATAGCATGTTTCTAGTGGCAGAGCCAAGACAGGACCAATGTCTTGCTGCCTTGGAAACCCAAGTTTTTCTAGGCCTTTTCCTTGTTCCTTGTAATAAAAATCGAAGATAAAGCCATGGTTGTCCAACATCGAAGTAGCCAACTTGAAACTATTTCTCTGTTTACCCAATGCATCATTTTACTTTTGCTCTACAAATGCTTTTTAAAAATGTGACACCCTGCCATCACCACCCGTTCCCAACATCTTCCAGCTTTAAATAGCTAGTGAAACATACCGCAGAGGTCTTTCATAAATGCCAAAGTGTTGAGCCGCTGGCTTTGCTTTGATTCAGCTGCCCCTACAAAGACCTGGTCTTTAGTTTTACTGTCATTGGTCCTTAGTTTGTTGGGGGGAAAATGTGGGACCTCAAGAATGTTCTTTTCATTCTTAATCTTTCAAAGTCACCCTCCGGTTGAGGCAGCCTGTGTTGAGCCACATCCAGCACTTCTCTGTCCCCTTGCTCCCTGGCCTGCAAAGAAGCACTGGGGTCTGAATCCCACCCCCACATCTAGTGGCTCTGTGTCCAGTATGGCTTTTTTCTTTCTGATACATTTAAACAATCAGACTGTTAAAGTAATTTAGGCAATGTTTTGATATATGCTAAGATAGCTTTCTGTGTCTCCTACTCGTGGCTGCCTTAACTTACCATACCTCGGTTATTAGTAACAATATGGTGCAATTCTTGAAGCCCTAGTTGTATTTGCTTAGGACTCTGCTAAAGTCTAAATATGGAATCGACTACTGCGTACTATTTCAATTTGAAATAACTTACTCCTCTAAAAGACATTACTTGACGATTATCTCCTTTTTTTTTAAAGTGACTTTTAACTT